GACGAGAGGTTGGGCAAAAATTTGAGCCAATATCTAATGTTTTTCGAAGAGAAAATTAAAATCAAAAAATTATATGCAATATTATGCGCATTAATGTGCATGATATTGTACTATTACTAGCATGTAACCCATGCCAGAGGCACGGGGTTAATATGATTTTATTAATTTTTATGTATATACTATATGTACATATGTATAAATTGTGTGGTTGACTAATTAGAATGTAACTTGAGTAGATACATAATATTGGTTTTTTTTTAGTATGTATATGTATTTATAAATGTATTATTATTTAGAAATGTTAATATTTTATAATGTAAGAGAGGATCAGATATTCTGGTATGGATGGGTATTGCATTTTTTTTATAATATTTTGTAGTATACTGAATAATTTTAGTATTATTTGTTTTGTTATATTGGGACGAATTGAATAGTACAAAAATTAATTATGACTTGAGATAAGTTAGATATTATGGTGTGATTATATTATGCTGTTTTTCTTTTTTAGAAGAACAGTTGCGGAAATAATTACATACATATGTAGAAATGGTAAAATACAAAATATAAAAAAGGATATTTACGATATAAATATAGTGTATTACGTATAATACTATTCAAATAAAAAAATATAACACTTTTTAGATAGATTATGAAAGTATCAAATTTTTTTAAGTATAAATTTCTTTTTTTAATTATTAGATAGGAGATTGAATGTTATTTTTTTTGATTGATCTTGTGAATAAATATGTTTTTTATAAAATTTTTATTATTAGCAATTATTAAATGTGTTATAATACTTGACTCTGTTTTATAAAAAATATTTTATTTAATAATTCATTTAACTGTTTAATAATACTTCTAAATATACTATATTTAGGGTAGTATTATTATTATTTGGAGGTAGAAGAATTTTTATAAAGTGTGGGCAGGTGCAACAGAATAAAGCTACATAAAGTTGACCATAAGAGAAAACAGAGGTTCTAAGGTCTAGGCCAATATATTTTACAGATTGACCTTGTGATTTGTTTATAGTAATCGCAAAAGCTAATTGGATAGGGAATTGGCATCATTTAAGTTTGAATAGGAGTTCGAAAGTTGAAGAAGTAAGAAAAATGTAAGGAATAAAGGTCAAATAGCCAGTATAGTCTCCAGTTAAGATACAGGCTTCGATTATGTAGGTGTTAAGTTTTGTTATAACTAATCAGGAACCATTGCAAAGACCTTGGCGGGGTGCTAAGTTTAGTAAAAGTATAATAGAGTATCTGATTTTAAGTTTGAGTATTGAAGGTGGCATGCCAATAGGTTTGAGAGAATTCAAGTATTTGCTAGAATAGGGATCATTATTGTTATTAACTTCAAATATTATACTGTTTGAACTTAAGTATGTTTGTTTTTTTTTAGAGAATATGTTAAGAATAGCAAGGTTAATATTGTCGATGTCGATGTTATGGGAGGAAAGTATCATTCGATCTTTTAAGTATTGATCAGTACATACATTTTTAATGTTGATGTTATGATATGTCGATTTAATAAGAGCATCTAAATCACAGTCAGTGTCAATTATCATATTTTCAGAAATGTCAATAGTGTTGTTTAGTTCAGATGTATTTGTGCCATCACCAATCTAGATATGAAGTAAGTAGTGAAAATAAGTTTAATGTATGAATAGGTAAGTTAGAGTTTAATGTTAAGGACTTACTTTTAAGAGCCATTGCATGAATTCTTGGATTTCAATAGATTCTGATTGGAGATGCATGTTTTTTTTTAATATGTATATTTTGATTGATTGCCATAGATATGATTTCTGAAGAGAGGCAGATACAATTTGTTCTCAAGAGCCTTTAGTTATAATGGGTAATATTTGACAAAAATCACTACCGAATACTACTGTAATTCCTCTGAATGGATGTGGGTCATCACAGATGTCTTGTAAGGTATGGTCAACAGATTCAGCACAGTTATGATATTGCATTGGGATTTCATCCCAGATGATGAGAGATGTTTGTTGTAATAAATCGGCAAGATCAGAGTTTTTGTTGATTGAGCATGAAGAATCATCATTAATGTCAAGGAAAATTTTAAACATTGAATGAGCTGTTCAACAACTGTTGAGTAAGAGAGTGGTGATGCTAGAGGAAGCTATGCAGATTACAATTTTGTGTTCACTGCAGACTTTCATTGCTAGAGTATTGTATAAAAAAGTTTTACCAGTTCTAGTGGGTCTATTTAAAAAGAATAAATTGCCTTCTTGTCTTGTTACAGAATCAAAAATATCTTGATATGCTGTTTTTTGTTCGATATTCATTTGAAGAATATGAACATCTGACATTTTTTGAAGTTCATTATAGTTCCAATTTAAATGTTCATAGATAAGACGGTTTCCTTGGTAGTGACTTCAATTATGTTCCCATCAGGGCATAGTGAAAAACATGCTAAGAGAATAGTTTGACTTGTGTAAAATTTCATCAAGAAGAAAGAGACCAAAATCGAATATATGAGATTCAGATGGATTTTGAATATTATATTGATTAGTTAAATGGTAACGAAGGTCATCGCAGAGATTATTACAAAAATGTAACCATAAATCATAAGGTTGGGTTGGAGTGCAATGTATAAACATGATAGTAAAAAGTGATCTTAGTTAGGCACCACTACGTATGATTGCGACTTCTGTTAAGCATTGTTTTCATTAATTGTCATCTTCTAACAAACCTAATGCAATATATGCATCTTTGAATGTTAAGTAAGTAGTACTGTTGATTGTTTTCAAATGATCAAATGATCGAGAATCACAAACTTTAGTTAGTAGAAGTCTTAAATAGAATCGTTCTCCAGCAGATGGATTAGCAAAGTATAATCTACCGATTGCAAAACCTTGTTTTCATAATTTCCATGTTTTATTAAATTTATTCCAAATAAAGTGTTGGGAAAATTCTTGGTAGGTGTATTGACAGATGATTTCAAGAGTTTCACATGTTTCGAAGAATGCTGTTAATGTAGTTTTTTGTTAGTCAGCACATGCAAGAATCTGGGCAGCATTGTCATTTAGGTCATAGACGACTGTATGCATTTCTGGAAGGTGTAATGCTAGTCGTATAACATTAGGTACTTCTTCATGCATACTGAATTCTAAAAGACGCCAAATAGCTTCTAGTGCACTTATATATCTTGCACAATATATTGTTTGATTTCGTCAGAATCTCGTTCAAATTGGATAATAGTTTGGTCATGACTTTTATAAATATATTTATGAATATATTTTACAGCATGTATAGATGCACAAATTTCGATATTTATATAGCAGTTATATTTACGACTAAGGGTTGGATTGTATGGTACTATATCTCGATTATCAACAGTTTTGTTACTGATATTAAAGGTTTGTCCGTTGTTTCATCTTCTATAAAGAGGATAACTATCTGTATCTATTAATGTCATATTACAAAATTGTTTTAGGTAATTTCTTTTGTATTTGCTATTTTCTATACACAGTGCTTGAGAATTGCGAGGACCATATAGACTGTGAATCATACAATGTAATACGGTGTTAAATAGTATTGAATCTGTTTCTTGATCAGGGAATTCAGTACTTATAAGACGATCTATATTGGCAGGTTCTTTTATTTTATGATCTTTGTGAAGAAATATTAAAAAGTACATATGTAGAAGACCACGTTTTTGAAATTCAATCGTATAAACATGTGTGACAGTTTTGCCAAGGAAGTTTTTTTTTTTGATATCTTTGAGAAGAGATCATCGTTTTAATTCAAATACACATGCTACTAAGTCTGGACGATCTGATGATGTTTGGCCAGATAACAGTTCATTAACGATTTCAGGCCAATTGGGGTTTGCTGTCATAGTTCCAAAAATATCAGAGTGTTAATAATATCAGGTAATAGCTATCGAATCTTGAAAAATTTCAAACATGTGACATAAGCTGCTGATATGTGTAGAAGGAAGAATTATTTGACATCCGAGATTATTAAGTGATAATTCTCTACTTGTGATTTCTTCTGTGGCATCTGCAAGTCCTTGATATAGATCAGCTCATAGTATACTTTGATTATTGCATAGATATCTTAAGTGATTTTGTTCTGTTGTTGCTCATGCATTGACTATAAATTCTTGAAATAATTTGCCTCCTCAGAGGATTGTTAAAAATTCATTGTGGCATGAGAAAAGGCGAAAAGAAAAAAATTGTTTTTGCATAAGTCTGGATGTGTCAGTTTGGTTATTTGTATTTATTTGACACAAATTTTTATGCCATCCAAGTTCACTGCATGAAAAAAGAAGTACATAATGTAGTGATAAATAAGCAGGATGTCCTTCATAAATTCATTCAAGTAAGTCATTACATAATCAGATAACTATATCACGCATGCTTTCTAGTATAGATCCGTTACTCAGTAAAAGAATAGCTATTTCATTTACAGTTGGAAGGTTGTAGCGATGTCTATTTATTGTACTAGTGTAGTGTAAATAAATGGCTAAGTTTGTATTAGAAGTATTGGTTTGATTGAGTTGGGAAAGGATTTCATGAGCTTGTTTATATAGCGGATAAAACATATGGTAAGTACATAAAACGTTTTGTATTTTCTGCATCATTTGTGGTGATAAATTGTTGTTACAATCTATTCGTAATAAATGTGTGATTGCTGAGTCATATATATAAAGTTGTGCATATTGTGGATCTTTCCCATTGACAGGGAGAAGTGAGCTGGATAAATGATGTAATTCTCCGCTAATGCGAAAACAATATGGACCGTGTCCGTGTAGAACTGTTTGATCAATGTTGACTCCTACTGATGTGAATGCATGAGCAGCATTATATTAACAGATATTTGTGCGAAATTCTTTAGCTTCATCATCATTATTTTCAAATAGATGTTTTAAAAGAAGTGGTGGGCTGTTAAGAAGAGGAAGAATAACTTTTCCTTAATGACAGCATGATCCAAATTTAAGGCTTTGGATAGAAAAATTTGTTAATCATTCATCTAACCAATGAAGAGCACTGCAATGAGTGCATTCAATGTTTATATGACCGAAATCATGTCTCTGGTTCATTTTTTCATGTTGTCTTCTTTGTGATTGTGCAGTTCTTTGTCTATTATTTATAATTACTTTGTTATTTATGAAGAAGTTAGTATTATTAGAGTATTTGATTGTCAAAAATTGGTTTAATAATGTTGAAAAGAAATAAAGCGGGTTTTTATATGTTTTTACACATTTATGTGGACAACTTTTTATTACAATTCAATGTTATATTTTTATTTTGTGTCTTTTTTATTGTATCTATTTTTAACATATCGTTATTTATTTATTATTATATGTAAAGTTGGTAATGAACATATTTTATTAAAAATTACTAATAAAGTTAATGAGTTAGTAGGATCAATAGATAGGGCTGATAGAGTTGATATTGCTAATAATGCTAATGGTTTAATGGTGTTAATGGTGTAACTAATAGAATTAGCAAAGTTAGCGAAATATTCAACGAAGTTAATATGGTCAATAAGATCAATAAGATTAATAGGATCAATAGTACTAATGGTGCCAATAGTATTGATTAACAATGAATACTGTCTTTACATATATTCATATATATTTTATATATATTCGAAATAAATTAATTTTTTGTGTATTTATTTAATTTATTTATAATTTTCGTACAAAGTTTTTTTGCCTTTTGGTAATATTATAGTATTAAAATGTTGAATTTTTTAAAAATATGTAATTTGATTGGTTAATGACTAATCATTATAAGTGAATCTATAATGATAAAAATTGGTCAATCAGACAACTTTCTTATGAGATCAAGAGGCACATTATTTAGTGATTTATGGTAAGTAATTTGATTCGATTAATTAATCAGATGGATAAGATCATTTAATGTAAATAATTTAATTCAATTTATGGATACGAATTTTAAAATTAGATGATTGGGATTCAAAAACGTTGAAATTTTTAATTTTTACCAATATATGTTACTATTTGTAATATCAAGAATATAGTGAAACAAAATGTACCAGAATAGTGAAATGAAGTGTATGGTTTACAGGCAACTGTCTGTGTACAAAATCTTTGATCTTATTGGATGAAGTATTCAAATTTATTATTGAATGTACAGAATATTAAGGATAGCTTTTTATCTATTTATGTACAGCTTCAAAATTATACATACTTAAATGTTATTATACCTTAAACTGATGCTGATCTATATATTTTAAGTACTGTAATAAACGTGTAAAATTTTCACTCTAAATTTTTTTTATTATTAGTCATGAGCCAAATTTATTCAGTAATAGCTGAGTTTAAGGTTAAATCTAATCCCTATTATGGTATTTATATCTTTCCCAAGAATCCTGATTTATGAAATATAGGATAAATTGGTGATGCAACCAAAATTTAGCATTCCTGTCATTTTGGGAATAAGATCTGTGTCACATTTAAATTAGATACTATATGAACATGTTGTTTATTTGCCTATTTAGTGTGATTATAACAGGCATCTGCTCATTTTCTAAACAATCATTTCACTGACACGCTATTTATTCAACATCATATATGCGTGATATAAATATCCTGTTAGTGAAATAACTGTAATAGAACCGTTATAACGATATACTTCTCTTTAAATCATCATTACCATTGATATGCATAATTAAACTTTTGATTATAAATCCATTAATTTATTATATTGCTTCGATCTCTTCACTGATCTCATGCCTAATCGCAAGTAATTTGTACTATTACAAATTTAAACTCGTAGTTAAGATTTTTGAACTGGTTTTGGTTTTCTTATGATCACATTATTACCTTATAATATGTATTGTCAAAAAAGGTAGTAACTTGTATTGTTTTAAAGGAGATATGAAAATTCGTTATTTAATCATTTGGGTTATGTGGTGTAATTGTAAATTATCATATAAAGAATTAGATTTTGTAAATACTAAATACTAGATTTTGCTGTAGATTGGTTTTCAAGTTTTATGAATATCGTATATATTTTTATATGAGAAGTTGATATTTATTCAGGTTAGTGATCATGATCGATTCACTTTGGTTGGTTTATTGGTGTAAACTATTTTATATTCAATTCTTTATTATGATCAGTCTATAAATAAATCATTTTATAGAATTTTTTTTATATAATAAAATTATTGAAACATAAATAAGATTTTTAATAATAATAATAAGTAAATATAAAAAAAAAGATAGTATCGAATATAAATATAATAATTCAATATGTGTTAATATTACAGTATTATATAGTTAATAGTATTCATAGTCAGAAGAATGATTTGCTTTTTTAATACTGCATGTATTTCGGTTATTATGTTTGCTAGTTTTTTTTTTAGAGTTATTGTTATTATTTACTTCTTTATTTGTTTGAGTAGAATTTTCTGTATCTTGTTGATTATCTGTATTTTGTTTGTCTGTTTCTTGTTGATCGTCTGTTTCTTGATCATTTGTTTCTTGTTGATTTTCTGTTTCTTGATCTTCATTATTATCATTATCATCAATGGTATTAACAGAATCAGTATTTTTTTCTGATTCAAAGGTTTCTTGTGATCTTTTGCATTTTAGTAAGGTTGTATAAATATGTATAAGTTTGAATCGCATAGGGTTTGTTGAAGATAGTTCAGTGCTGGTAGCTTCTTTTTTTTTTGTGAAAAAATTGATATCAATGTAATTAATGTCATTAGCATAAACATAAAATTCATTATCTATAATTTCGATTTGTCTAATTACGAAAATAATCGATTCTTGAGGATAAATTGTTGATTTAAGATGCTTGAACCAAGAATTTATATGCAGAAAGACCACTTTGATGGTATAATCAAGGGATTGTCTAACATAGTCAGATATAAGCATTTGAATAATGGAGTTTTCAGTATCTTCAATTTCGATTGGCATTTCTTGTAGAACTTCTACTAAAGAAGTTTTTAAGGGACATTTATTTGATTCTAGAACTTTATTAGTGATTGATAAATGAGTTAAAATAGTAGCAGTCATCTAAATATTAAATTCATATTAATATTAATTTTGTAAAAAGGATTAAACTGACAAAAAAATTTTTTTTGTGAATTTATAATTAAACTATAAGAAAGTATAAATTTTTAAGATTATATACTAAAATTTTATTGAGATCATTTGTTTCTTAAATAAAAACTGTTTTTAGGCTAATTTTGAATTAGTTAAGCTCACAAAAACTTTATTTTTCTTAGCACTTAGTTTATATCTTAGTGTGCCAATTAGAGATACCTTATTTTAAGAGAATTAATAATTAGTTTAATAGAAGGCTTCATTTAAAGATAATAATATAAAAATAAAGTAATAAAAAATATTAAAATTAATGAAAAAGTTTTCAACTAAATTAATTATTAATGAATAGGATTTTACTGTACTACTAGTAGTATATTGTACTACATTGTGACAGTTTTTGAAGGTAAATATCTATCGATAGACCAAGTTATTTGACTTCATATTTTGTAATTATTCTCTTTTTAAGTAGCTTGTCATGAAACACTATTTACATTATACATATTGTGCAGAGAATTCATGTGTAGCTAAGTTTGATCATGCTTGGTTATCGAATTAAGTATCATTTATATTGATCATATTCATATACATTTATAGTTAGCGAAATGTAAAAAATAATGTAATAAATAGTTTATTTGTAAAGAGACCCAACCCTAGAACCGCTTGATCTTTATCTACTTTTTTTTTTATTGAACATTTATTATTAAACATTTTTACATTGAAAAAAAGCAAGAATATCAAAGAATAAGTCAAAAAATTGTCACTCTGAATACTGATGATACTTACCTAACATGCATATATATGTTTTTTTTATCAAAGTTCTTGTCATGGTTGAATTTAGTGTCCCAGGTATTTGTAGCACAAGGAATAGATATTGGGATCAGAATATGCATGAATAGTATAATTCGAGTTTGCTTAGAATTAAAAGTCTAAAATAGTGATTGCATAAACAATATAGTAATTAGTAGCAATTAGTAGTAATAGTGATTGCATAAACAATATAGTAATCATTAGCAATTAATAATATAAGGCATTGATCCCAAAGGGAAATGCGAATAAAGCTTGCTTAGTCTTATGTTCTCTGTGTGAATACAAAACTTCAGTTATTGTATATTAGCCAAATGAGTTAAATACTGATAGTAAAAGCCAAGTACATGGTGTTCAGAATACTCTGTAACAATTCTTTATCATAAAATTATGGGCCAAATTTCACTAAATATAAAAGATAGGGCCAAAGTTACTGTCTTAGGAATGGTTGTAGGCAAAAATATTGCTCAACCTCTTTTGGGAAACCTTTGGAAAACCAGATAGCTTAGTGCCATAGTTTTATGAAGAGCACATCATATAAATTGTTAGATGATTAGTCTTGATAAAAGGCCAAAGGAAGAAATTGAAGTCACAGTAGCCTGTATGAAGTTCGTAGCTACTGCCACTACTGATAATAATTCTGATGAAAATGGTGTTCAAGCTGATCTGATTATTAATAACTCTGAAACTGACATCTCAAGTAATAGCAAAGAGAGTCAGAATGAAACAAGTATTAGTAATTCAAATGAACTTGTGTGAGCTAATGCAATTGTATCTATTGATACTTGCTGTGTTCAGCATTCCTATTCTAATGCACCAATTGTGCATATTCCTAATATTTTACAAGCCTCTCCAAAACAATTTCTTGAACATTTTTTACTAGTTGACTATATTAAGTCAATTGTAATACCATTTACAAATGCATGTGCACACGCAAGTAAACGGTTGTAGAAAGACTTGACCTGGGTGGAGTTTATGTGGCTTGTTGGGATTTTGACTATTATAACATATGTGAAATGTTCTGTTGTATGTGATTATTGGTCAATTAATCAAGAGACAGGTGGTATTTCATTAGAATTTGGGCGTTATATGTCACATAGACATTTTAGAGATATTATTAAATACTTGACATTAACAAATATGCCATAAAGTGATAATCTGTTTTATTCTGTTCATCAATTTCATAAAGCATTTAATGAAAACCTTTCTAAAGCCATTACACCTGCCAGTTTTCTCTGTATTGATGAATCAATGTGCCAATGGATAGGCAAGGTTGATAAAGGTCCATTCCAACATAAGATACCAAGAAAGCCTCATCCTATTGGCTGTGAATTCAAGACTATTGCTGATGTACAGGTTAATTTGTTTATACGATTAGATCCTATAGAGCCATCAGAACATGCCAATAAAAAAAATTTTCTGATAAATATCTAGCAACAGTTGCAATAATATTACAGTTAACAGAGCCATAGTTTTATACTAGTAGAACTATTGTTGCAGATTCATGGTTTGGAAGTGTAATTAGTTGTGTAACTTTATATAAGCATGGTTTTTATTCAATTATGCAATTAAAAAAATGCCATTACTAGCCAAAACATATTCCGAATGACATTACAAGTTCTCTTGAAGAACCCTATGGATTATTTATTAGTCAAACAGGAAAATCAAATAATGTTAATCTTATTTTATGCTCACTTTGTGATCGAAAAAACACAGTATTACTTTCAACTTGTTCTGTAACAGTTGCTTAAAAAGAAATAAATAGATATATAAAGGATTGTGGTAATGTAAAATTTAAGTGAACTATTGTATTTGATGAATATAATGAGTACTGATCTGCTGTAGATATTCTCAATAATTTATGTGACAATGCACTTTCTTATCATGATGTTCTTATGACAAAGTGTCCAATAAACTGTATTTTTTCTTTTTACCTTACAGTTGCAAAAGCTAACAGCTATTCTGCATACTGTCGATTTATTCCAGAACAAAAAATATTGAAACATGTGAATTTCCATAAACAGTTAGTTGCATCTATTTTTGAATGTTACTCAGATAAAACCATTGCCAATAGAACTAAAAAAAAGAAAAAGACAAGACTCAGAAATTATTGAACATGATCTCTTGAGTCTCAGAAACAATACTTCAATTTCGTCACCTAATAGAAAACATGTTTAATGTTGTTGTATAAGTTGCCATACTTGTACAACTACATGCTACAGATGTTTAACAAAATGGGATATATGCACAAAATGTTGGGCTTGTCATATTCGTAATACATACAGCAAGGCTTCTACAAGGTAAAATTTTTTATAAACCTATTTTTCTATGCTTGCTCTATCTTTCTTTAAATTTACAGCCTAAAATATTTTTTCTGTAGACTGCTTGATAATTTTTAATTGTGTACTACATGTAGTACACCTTCTATTGCGGAATAATTAACATGTTTGATATTATATAATCTATCAATTATGTAATAAATAAATAATAAAAATAAGTCAATTTATAAAGTGGCTTATAATAATTCATCGAGTAAAAAATTTTTTAAATTTGTTAAATTTTAAGTGCTCTATGATTTTTTTAAAATGTACTACCAGTAGTACAATAGGTGAAATCCTATCTATTAATTTTAAATAGTATATAAGAAGTTATTTTGCAGCAATACTGTATTATCTTAATGCACAGAATGTTGTTTTGAACTTTATATGATATGATAAAGTATTTAATACCTTTTGTCTAGTTTTTCCATTATATATTCCAGGTACAATCTTTCCTCCGATGGAGTAATATTCATCTCTTTTAAAAATTGTCTGCGATTCGGAATCACGATCGTTTGGATTAGTCAGTATGAATAAAGTTACTTCAATTTTGTTGTCTTTACATCATACTGGATAAGTTCCAATAGTCTATACTGAATTTACTTTCGCATTTTCTTTTTCACTTCATCTAACAACTTTAGCTTTAATGATTATATCTGCGTAATAGGGCATAATGCTTTCAGATTTATTATGAAAAATTTGTTAATAAGCATTGAGATGCATTTTTTATATTAAAATGTTTTTATGCATTTAAATAAAAAGCAAATAACTGCAAATTCTTGAAATAATAGGCATGGGAATTTTTTTTGAAATATTTGTTCTGAAACTATATATATTTTTATATAATATGTCAGAAGACTTATAGTATATAGCATATAATAAAATAATAATAATTATAATAGGAATTGAGTTTTATTTCAAATCAACGCACATAAAAATATTTCAAATATGTGCAGGTAATTGGAATAATGTAGTTCTTGTTATTTCAAGATTTCATGATAGTATGTAATTGGAAATCAATTGACTACTTAGTATAGTAAATAAATGAATATTATCTATGATCAATATTATATGTATGCATATTGATATAAATCATTGTGTATTACGTATAGATATAGATATTGTAGAATAAGACTTTATTTATTATTCACATAGGCATTATTATTACAGAGAAGAATTATTTAGCACCCTCACTTTTTTGCCCAACTATTATTATAAAGACGACAATGAGTATCAAAGCATCACTACTATTTATTTTCATTTAGCAAATTGCTTAGCATTATTTTATCGAAGAGGTTGGAGCGGTACTATTATCTCTACTGTGGTTTAGTACTAAGGAACATGGGATTTTTTATTTTATAAATAATTGTCATACATATGTGTATTGCACTATTTGGAAATCGAGATTTCATCACTGTTATATTACTCCATAAGTTACTCAGTACCATTATTATAGTAAAGGTTTATTTAGCACTTTGTAGAAAATATTACGAATCTTTCTTCGCACACATGTTCATCATCACTTGTATCATTCAGTATGTAACTGCAGATTCCAAACAAAAAATAGAAAACTGTTATGTTTTGTCACCCATTAATCCATAAGATACTTGGCACTGTATTCATAGAGAAGGGTTATCTGGCACTGTGCAGAAAATATATCTCAACTCTTCTTTATAATATAGATGATAAAATGTGCATGTTTTTTATCTCTAACCGTGAACTAGTTCATGATTGAATTTGAGGATCATG